CGAATGAATGAAAGTATTTATACTTGTCATGCTTACTCTGTAGGTTTTTAATAAGCATATGTTGTAGAATAGATTAACTGAAATGATTACTATGAATGACTTAACATAGTTAGGTTTTCATGGTGAAAACATTAACTCTAGTTTGGAGATATAGCTCATTGGTGAAGAGAACATGCTCCTCTTACTGAGAATCCAGATTCAGTTCCTAGAATCCACAAGGTTGCTCACAGTCATCTTCATATCCATTTCTAGGAAATCAAGAGCTCTCTTCTGGCCCCTACAGCAATGTACCAGGTGGCATACATACATGCAAAGAAAAAACTGATATACTCACATAAAATAAAACCAAATAAATCTTTAATATAGAAAAAAACTAGTATGATCTACTCTCTGTTGTGTGTAAGAATATACCATCATTGACTTAGTCACCATTAGTGCACAGTGAATCTCTTGAAACTTAAACTAGTATCTTTTGGTAATACTCTCCCAACTGCATCCCCTGGTAACATTCATTATAATCTGCTTTAATGAGGTCAGTTATGATGATGCACGCCACATGTAAATGAGACCGTATGACAGTTGTCTTTCTGTACTTGTTGTGCTCCATTTAAGATATCATCGTCCAGATTGCCCCTCCACTTTGCAGAAAAAAAAGTTATTTAATGAAAAAAAGAAGATTCTTCTGTGTGTATAGACACTATTTTCCTTACCCATTATCAGCTGTCAAACTTATGGTGATCCCTATCTTGACTATTATGAATAATTATACAATAAAGGAGTTCATAAAGTGATTTTTGCATGTATATCCTATGGTGAAAATGCCAGATCCCACTGCAGTAGCTTTTCAAGTTTTTGAGGAACTCACATTTTATTTTCCATAACACCTGCACTGCTTAACATCACTACTAGCTGTGTACAAAATGTTCCCTTTCTCTACATTCTTGACAGAACTTTTTATCTTTCATGATTTTATATTAGCCTTATATGTTCCATGTTGGAGAGCGCTTGAATATATCTTCTCTTCCCTTCCGTATTTGTTTTGAACACCTGTGATTTGAGGCCTACTAATGACATTTAGTATTTTATTCAACTTATATATTTTTAGCAATTTATTTTATCTAGTACGCCATTAGCACTGACAGGTCAAGTCATCATAAAGCTGTGAGTGCCATTTAGATTTTTGTACAGTAGATGTTATCTCAATGGTTTTTTTTTTTTAAGTTTTATTTTGTTACTTTTCTCTAGACTCTGTGAGCAATCTCTTGACCAAGGCCAGGCAGTGTTTCTCTCCTTGTATTTAAGGAGGAATGGGTTCTATGAAAGGACGATGACTGAGGTAAAGCTGCATAACTACTTCGTTGGTTGAGTAACTCCCAAGAAGCAACTCTTATGGCCTGTGGTTCTTTCTAGGGAACTCTTAGCTTTTTGGTTCCTGACAAAAATAACCCCCACAGAGAGACCAAAACAAAACCCTCAACCATCTAAACATTTGTAGTTTCATGATTGCCAGTTATAGTGTCTAATGATAAAATTTTAGAGTCATGACTACGGTAGAAGAATCTGTTCAAATGGCCAATGTATATTTGAATGTGATAGGACAACTTTTAAAAACCAAATCTTACTCTTCCCCTTGGTGTGATGTGCGCGTGTTCAAATTTCTTTCCTTTTCTTAATTCTGAAAAGCTATTTTTGCTAAAGTCCACTTCCTTTTTCTTCTATCCACAGGGAAGTCATAATCCTCTCTTTAAATAGCAGCTGGTTACCATGGAAATCATTCTAATGCCCCTGAATCAATATTGTGATTTTGCTGACATTTCAGGTGAAAAAGAAAAAGACAGGCTAAGATGTATAAAAGTCACATTTTCTTCTTTTGTAATGTTGACAGCAAGGAGTCGTAAAGAAAACACGAGCTCTACAATAAACTCCAGTGAGCTTCTTATTATAAAGAACTGAGGATTCATAAAAGACCAATCTTTATATTTAAATAATTTTAGATTTGAGTACAGACATATGTGCACATGCTCTTTGATTCAAAGGAGTTCCTCCCATCTCTGAACTGAGCCCTGATTTAACCCTGTTTGTATTATTCTAATGACTCATTAGAAGACAGTTTTGTACATATGGCTCTGCAATTGTCTCTTTCCAATGAACTCTAAAGAGAAAGGTAAATTTACATAGCAAATGCTGTCCTGCCTATTACTGGATTCAAATCACCATCCAGCCTATGTAAGACCCTTATTCACACACAGCTAAGGGCTTTCTAGTGCATTCTGAGAGTTCCTTTCTGAAGAGAAATGTTGAGTTTGGGCCTGGTGGTGCATAAGTTGCAGAGTCCATCAAATAATTTTTACGTCTATCTAACTTAAGCCCTCACCACAGAAACTGAATCACTTTCTCATGTCCTCCTTCATAAAATCAAAAACAATTATTAAAAGGCTAATGTCTGTTTAATAATTATTCCGAAGGAACCCTTCATGCATAGTCAGTGATAGTGCCTGAAATAGAATAATGGCTTCAATACAATACAAGTAGATGAAGATTTTTTTCCTTTTAAGGTGATTGACAGACATTCATGTGTTGCTTCTAAGAGCAGGTGATCATACTGTTCCACTAGTTTCATGCTCTATACAATACTTTCTCCTCCTCTTAGCAGGGCTCTTCTGAGGCATGTGCCATACACTCTTTCTAGTAGTTGGCTGCATGGCATGGCCTTGTGGCACAGATCTTACAATCTTTGCAACAAATAACAATGTTTAAAGCTTACAAAGTTTCCATTGCCCAGCTCTCATTAATAAAGAAACTAGAGAAAGGAGAGAAGTCCTAGTCCCTACTTCAAATGACCTGACAGATCAACATGACCACACCTGGATGGCATTGCCCTACATGTGGAATTGGGGTGGGGGATGGGAGGGGAGGGTGGTCAGGGTGCATGTGAGGGGGCAGAGAGGGTAAAAGTGACAGAGGGAGTGGGAACTGGGATCGACATGTAAAATAATAAATTAAAAAATAAAGAAACTAAACATCTGTTGTGTCTAAATGCATAAATGTGTTGTATATAAGGTTCAGGACACACTTGTAACTGTAAATCATGATAAAAGGGATCCAAATTCTAATAGATACTAAGAAGGTATGGAGAAATAATGTCTTCTCAGAATGTAAACAGACACGCTTGCATGCACGTGCACATGCACGTGCGCACGCGCACGCACGCGCGCGCGCGCACACACACACACACACACACACACACACACACAGAAAGCTGCATTAAAAATTACCAACAAGATAGATAAACAAATCCTCATGTCTTGAAGATTTCTGTCTGTAAAAGTGTAAAAAACAATAATAATTTAAAAAATGAAATTGAATGCCATGGAAATGAATCACAGAAAAGCAGTGTAAATACAGGACTGGGAAGGCAGTGAGCACCCTGTCTCATTGTTCCTAGCTCTCAAAAGCATGGTATGTTTTTGCTTATGTATACACACGCACACACACACACACACACACACACACACTCAGATGTCTAGTGTGTGGACAAAAGATATTAAAGAGGAAAACTGTCTTTTTGAATGTGAAAGATTCGTTCCATTTCCAGGTATTTATCTACATTGTTTAACAATTCTGAGATAATATCTTCAGAGCAAGGATTAAGAAGATGTAAGAAGAGTGAAGGGAGAGGTGGCATGTCAGCCACGGGCATCTTATCTCTCATTCTGCATGTGAATTTCTGGGCAAAGAGTCAGGAAACACTGGAAATTTCAGGTGGCAAAGAATTATCAGGTGAGAAAACGATGGCATGGCTTGCTTTCATTATAAACAGGACTGAGAAGCGGTAGTGTTGGGTTCAGGGAAAGACTATGTGGCTAGGCAGAAATCTGTTGCCTGCCACTGGCAGGATTGCAGACATTGAAGCATGCCTCATAGCTGACACACATAAACAATGACTTGGAGCAAGGGACACAATGCTGTGTTCTTCAAAATTAAAGTCCTGAAAATTTAAGCTCCATGTGATGGTTTTTGGGAGGTGATGTCTTTGGGAGGTAAGAAGGACCCAAAGTCAGAACTTTTGCTGACAAGAATATTTAACATTCTTACCATCAGTCCCATCCCATACAAGGCAAGACTATCAGAAGAGAAGACTCCAAACCCTTGAAGGGAGCTCTGTTCTGAGAACATATTGGTTCCTGCTTTGCAGCAGAGGTGGAGAGATGACTTTCCACCCTTCATAAACAAGCCAGCCAAAGACAATTTGATATAGCAGGCTAAACTGGGACAGCTATGAACGCTCTAGTACAACTCTGCTTCAACCAAGGGGTTTCTTGGAAAAGCTCAAGTAAGCTGTGGGCTTCCTTACTCCAGAAGTTAAAGGATTTGTGAGATATTAGGCTAATGTGACCAGATTTCTATCCATATACCCTCAGTAGTGTTTGATTTGTGTATCTCATAGCTGAGAGGAAATTAAAAAAGAAAAATTACAAAGGAAGAAATAAGACTTATGAAGCAGAAACTGAAATACTTAGCTGATACAGACACACAATGATGTAAAAATGGATATTTCTAAAAGATCACACATTTCCTACATTAAAATCTCCCCTATGAAATGTTCCAATGATCATCCAATATGTCTTTTAACTATGTAAATAGCAAATTACATAGTAAGAAAGTATAAACAGTAGAAATACTTCTAGGCAAAAATAATTTCGGATGATTCAAAGCCTTAAAAGGGCTGTAATGCTCACACACTGCCTTGCCCGTTTTTGTTCTGTTTTTGTACTTGGGGCACCACACATGCTATTGCAAACCCTCTGCTACTGAACTGCAATACCTGGACTATCTGGCTTTTCTGTTTGAACATACTAAGTATGATTGGGTGTTATTTGACAGTACACCGTAATGCCTTCTACCCTTCATGTTTCTTTCCTGAGAACCAAGAGGAGGAAACAGGTTCCCAGAAGTTGCAGCCCTTAGAGATGCCTGGGAAGTAGCCACGGTGAGCTTACCTTCTGCCCTCTCCAAAGTTCTCCCGCTTTTACTGGCTGCAGTGCTGTTGACTGTCTCGGATGAGGTGCTAAGCTTGGTGCTGGGATCTCGCTTGGGCTTGGGTGGTGGTTGTCTCCGGGATCCACAGCTGCTGTCATCCTCGGTACCCCCAACAGAGTGCAGGGACTGAGATCTCACAGTGAATCCACTGGAACAGGGATGCGGGAGTCTGTCCTGAGGAGCAGGCATCGTCATGAACCCCATGCGGAAGTGCTTGCCCGCGTAGCTGGTGTCCTGGCCTCTCCCTACTTCTCCCCCTATGCTGTAAGAGAAAGCAGAAACCACCTGTGAGGAGAAAAGCAGCCAAGATATACTTGAAGACAGAGGTACCACCAGCATGTCCTTGAGAGGTGAAAATCCTCACTGGTGAAGAAGTATACCATTTTGCAAGGGGTTGACATGCAGACCAGTCTTAAATATCATGAAAGCAGTCTATACTCTAAGTCAAAATATGAAAATAAAACCAAAACAACTTGATTAGAATCACAAAATTTATCATGTGTCTACGGGCACATTTACCTCCAGATAAACTTACTATCTTAAGGGAGAAAATCCTGTACAACAGACTTTACTTTCAACCACTCACTCAATTTTTTTTTTTTTAGAACTTGGTGGCGAAACTTGTCTCATGACTTGAAAAGTAGACAAAAAAAATGAGATAACTATATTCCTTAGACTAGCACCTATTGAGTGACTGGACACCATTCTATTCATCAAAACTATCCCTAGCAGCGTTGATGGTATAATGGTGAGCATAGCTGCCTTCCAAAATATCCCTGATTCCCTGCTTAACATGTTGAGGAAAAAGTGGCATAAACAAGTGCAGCAAGGGTTCTATTAATAAGCAGTAGGAAGAGAGAATGAAAAAGGCAAAGGTTAGGGAGGAGGAGTAGGGGCAGCCGGAAAGGAGAACAGGAAAGACAGGGTATTAGAGGACGACAGAGTGGAAGAAGGGAAAAGACTATGAATGAAACTCAGAGAGAGAGAGAGAGAGAGAGTGAGAGAGAGAGAGAGAGAGAGAGAAGAGAGGAAGCAGGTGTGGGAGGAAAGAGAGGGAAGGAGGGAGAAAGGAAAAGCTAAGAAGGGAGGCGGGAAGACAATTATATGGAGGAAGTCAGAGGGGAACAAGGACAATGGAAGAGGAGGAGATGACATACATTTCAAATTGGTGAGTGAACTGTCTGTCTTTTTATTTTCTAGAAACAGTCCGCATCCCTTGATGATAAATATGTGGAGCCAATAAGAAGCAAGCCCCACCTCATATTGTAGGAGAGTTTAACAAGGTGTTAAAAGACCTGATCCTGAGATGACTCTACCTCTAAAGTACTGAGGATATAAAACACTTTCCAAATTTGACATTTTTCCAGTGTCACTGGGGAAAATAGGAAGATTGAGAAAGATGTAGTTTGAAGTTCAGTTAACCACAGGAGAAACACTGCTTGGGGTTGCTTTCTGTACTGTACATAATGACAACTCTTCATGAAGAAAACATCATGAATATGTATGTGAACTTTTAGGAAAAAAGATTTTCTTAGAGTTTCCTTTGTCCATCAAGCTCGTTCACTGAAAGGAAAAGCTAAAAGAAAAATCATGTGTAAAATATTTGCATTTTCCTGAAATATGTGAATTGTGAAAAGAAATTTAGAGCATATGAATTTTGTAAGCTTGTTGAGTCTTTCTAGTATATAGATTTATTTGGAAATATTAAACTAGATTTCAGTTTAATTTCCATAAATGATGCAATTCAAAGTAAGATTTGAAGTTTGTTTATTGAGTCTTTCATACCATTATGATATTCATCATAACTTTATAATTCTCAGGCTGGTGAATGTATCTCTGTAGAAGAGTATGGCTTTTACATAGATGAGGCCCTAGGCTCACTTTCAAACAGCAATAAATAAGTAAACAAATTAATCAATTAATAAAGTAATACATTTTGAAAATCAAATTCAAATAGGAACAATTGTGGGAAATAAATGTTTTCCATTTTCTTTTTTTCATTTATTATTATTTTTTCCTATTTTATATATCAATCCCAGTTCCCTCTCTCTCCCTTACTCCCCTGTCCCCTGACTCCCCCTTCCATCCCATTCACTCCCCAGCCCCTCCTTGGGGAGTGGGTGAGGCTTCCTGGAGGGATCATCAAAATCTGTCAAGTCATTTGGAGTAGGGCCTAGGCATACCCTTCTGTCTCTAGGGTAAGGGAGTATCCCTCCATGGGAAATGTGCACCAAATCCTTTTGTGCACCAGGGAGACATCCTGGTTCTACTGTCAGAGGTCCCATAGACTACCCAGGCCTTCTAATAGAAACCCGTATTGAGATGTTTTCCATTATCAACTAAGGCAGTGGTTGTCAACCTTCTTAATGCTGTGACCCTTTATTTAATACAGTTCCTCATATTGTGGTAACTCTCCACTGCATAACTATAATTTTGCTTCTGTTATGATTCATAATATAAATATCTGATGTGCCACCCCTATGAAAGTATCTTTTTATGCCAAGGCCTCACCATCCACAACTAGAGGACTGCTGAACTTGGGACTTGAGAGGATTACATGTATATTGTGGGGAATGCCAAAAGACACAACAAGATCCTTCTAGTTTGATTCGAGCACTTACAAAAATAATTTGTAGCTTCAACACAACTCTTATTTCTATTTCCACCATTTCTTGTTTAATATTTTGTGTTCATGTACAGACACTGAGTATGCATGTTAGTAACATGGATGGCAGTGTTAAAACAGGGCAGTGGACATGCAAGACGCAGGTGGCCTCAACCTGACAGCTAAGTGGATTTTCTTACAGAGACAGGAAGCATCCTATTTAATGTCCCTATGCATTTTAATTTCTGTGTTTGCTTCAAGACCATCAATCGAGACACAAATGAGAAGCTTACACAGAGTGTTTTTCGGAAAATCTATTAAGAATTTCTGGGAAAATGGGCTTAGTGGTGGGGAGAGGAGTCTTGAGCATATGTGAAGATTTCACTCTGGGATGATAAGTCTTTGATGCTCCCCACAGAATATATTTTATTCCATATAACTTTGCCTTAAATTATTTTCTTCTCTTTTTCACTTCTGTTGTATCGCTGCAGAAAAGCTGCTTTAAAGATTTATTTAGACAGCTGCCTCTTTGCCAGGAACACACTCACCTAGGGAGATCTATGCATGTGTTAATGCACACAGACATTTATGAGACAGTTACTAGAAATAATTGTATCAGCAATTTATCTGTTACCTTTGACCTAAATAGAGCCTGCACCTTTTCCCAGATAATTAGCCCTGCTTCTTTGTGTCAGGATTTTCTGTTTATCAGCACAAAACAATTTTGTGTAATGCTGGATTTGCTCATAAATATCCTGTTATGCACAGTAACACTTCTTCCAAGTGAAATACAATGAGTACTTCAAACAATAGCAGGTATAAAGATGCAAGTTTAGTACCACCTGGCAGTGCATACATAATAAAAACATGTGACTTAGAGTGAGTTACATGTGCACAGGCCTTTGTTCAAGTCAAGGTTAAGGACAAGTAATAAGGATAATGCCACAGCTAATAGTAAGAGATTTAGAAGGGTGTTGAGACCAAAGCACACTGAAGATCATAGAATGAAGCATATAACTAGTTCTGGAATCTGCTGAATATCTGTTTTGTTTTTGGAGGACTTTTATTTATGTATGTATGTATGTATGTATGTATGTATGTATGTATTTATTTTTACATGCCAAATGCAAGATATTCCATCCTAAAGGCAACAGTATAATCACATCTGTTACATATCTGTCAATATGATCTTTGAGTTTATGCCTTTAGAACTTTATCTATTTTGTTCTTTTATTTTTTTATTAATTTTGCATCCCAAGCAAAGTTCCTCCTACTTCTCCTCCTCCCCCTTCTTCCACCTTCCCCCAACCCTCTCCCCATCCACTCCTCAAAAAGGGTAAGGTCTACCATGGGAGTCAACAAAGCCTTGCACATTCAGTTGAGGCATCGCCACCTGCCCTGTCTACCCTGCCTCATCAAAACTGAGCAAGGCAGCCCACTATATGGAATGGGCCTCAAAGAGCCAGGTCATGCACTAGGGATAGATCCTAGTCTGTTTTTAAGACCCCTGTCAGTGGGAAAATCTATTTATTTCTAATGTTATTACTACAGAACCCTTAAGGGGAAGTATCCATCACTGAGAATAACTGTTATAAAGAGTCAGAAGAAATAAATGCAAGACAAAATGCAGTGGACTTATCAGGCAGATCTATTTACGTCATCATGGAAGTAGCAATGGTTCATTATCTGTGGCTCTAGCTCACTTTCTTTCTTCATTGTACAATCAGTCCCTATTGGGTCATGATGTTCTTCTGAAATAGAAAGAGTGCCCATGATTAAAGCACAGTGACCCCCTAAGACTGTAGTTCACTTTTAGTGTGTAAGCTTTCATTTATGTTCTTCTAATTATAAGGGATATATTCAGTCACAGGAAGATGTGGCAAGTGATATTGCAGTGTGTGGGTATGTATGCCCCTCTTATAAGTAAAGGATTAAATGCCTCATGTAATAGCTACAGTAGTATGTGGCTGAGATCTTACTTGATGAGAAAACATACAATGATGGGTGAAATTAGTTGAGGAAATAAGCAATTTGTGTTCCCAATTTGCTGAGAATTAGCTGTGTTTGCCAAAACACATATATGTTGGAAATGCAACTCTCAATTCAACTGTGTTGGGAAGTAGATCCCATTAGTAGGCATTTTATCCAAAAGGCTCCATTTGCATGAAAGAATTTGTGCTGATTATAAAAGGGCCCATTTTACGGTTTAATATCCTATGTTCCTAATATGTCCATTTATCCTGTGATACCTTAGACCAAGTTATAATGAAACCTGAAAGCCTTCACTATATGCATACCTTTGATCTTGGACTTCTCAACCTTTACAGCAGTGAGCAAGTCAGTGAGAGTTCAAGCATTAGTGGGAGACTCTGTCTCAAAATAACATGAAAGAAGAAAGAAAGGAATGAAGGAAGAAAGAAAGAAAGAAAGAAAGAAGGAAAGAAAGGAGAGAGGGAGAGGGAGGGAGGTGGAGGGAGGGAGGAAGAGGAAAAGAGAGAAGGAGAGGGGGGGCAGAGTGATAGAAGAGATATTGACATATGGCCTCTACAAACGTAGGCACAGATGAGATCACATGCAAACATACCACGGAAATGAATAAAGCAGGAAACATCCTCTCAGTCGACAAGACCACTGTCCTTGAGCATCAAAAACAGAGA